TGGCCGCGCCCTGCGCAGCCCCTCCTCGAGAAGGGAGACACATCGATCCCCCAACTCCGAATGTGAGGCTCGCCGAACACCAGACGAGCCTTCCATCCCGGGCCCCTTTATGCTGGGCAACGAACTCCCCCGAGTCCGCTACCCAGGGGCCATGGGGGGCCAGGACAGCATCCACTCAACTGTGAAGTTCAGTGGCTGCTCCCCCAGCCCCCGCGGCGGATCTGATGACAGGCTCCGCCGCAACACCTAACGCGCTTCCGCGCGGACTCTCCGAAGAGAGTCGCTTGGAGCGCCCACCACGGGCCAACCGCCCACGTTCGGCCGCGGAGGATAGGACGAGCGGCAAAGACACACCGACACGTCTCTTCCCCCGCGGCCCCGCCGCCACTGCATCATTAAAAGCGGTGCAGCCCCGCCAGGGTCGCGGAGGACAGGACGAGCGGCAACGACACACCGACACGTCTCTCCCCCCGCGACCCTCCTCCTCGCGCATCCGCGCGGTCCCGCTGGCCAAACGAGCCCCGCGCGGAACGCCCTCCTCCTCGGGCCAGCCTACCACCATCGGCCGGCCCCGTGGGTTCCTCTTAGCTTCACCGTGGGATGAAATCGACCACGGCTACTGGAGCCCCCCCGCCACGACAAGGCGGGAACCCCTTCGGGGGGGTGCCAGTATTTCTCTGGACGAACCTTTCATAAGTAGCTCTACTGCTACTTTAGTAGATTTTTAACCAGTGTTATTTTTATGAATGAGATTGTTTGAAATCTGTTTTTTTTTATTCAAATTTGTGTCAAAGCGTATATCTCTAACCCGTCTTATCGGTTCCAATTAGGAACGCCCCCAGCCACCTGCGATTGAGGTTGCGCATAAACCCCGCCATAGTCGATGAGTCCATCGAACCTCTCCTGGAGGTACACGATGACTTTTCAGTACTCTAACTGGGACACATTTTTGGTCCTACATCCTGGCGCTGAGAATTGGTCCTCAGGCTTATGGTCCTGGTTATAGTATGGCAGGCTGATAGTCCTCAACGAGTGGTATTTAGTGAATGGGCGTTATCAAATTATGTAATTTAGTTAGTGTAATTTAGTTCTATTGGGCTTACCGTATCACAATAATTATCCAAACGCTTTTTTTATCAGTATCGTTTTTTACACTCACGTTGTTATCGGTTCATATTTCGGTGAAGGGCGTTTAAAGGACGAATATAATTTGCCAGTACCTACTGCAAGAAATGCTATCACTTGCACACCTCTTGTTCTTGTAAATCTAACACGATGGTGCTTCGCAACAATATAAATAATTAAATAGACATTTGTTTCTCCACGAAAGATAGAAAACACTATAAAACTAGGTGCACAAAAGGAGCCTCCCCGCACGACACGTACCATTCCTTGCCTGTACGTCTAGTCTAACACAATCTGGGCAACAATCGGCAAGTACCTTACGCCGATTGGCAAATTCTTTCACCACGATGGTAAGCGTTGTAGTGTATGCCATCGATACGATAAGAAGAAGACTAATATAAAAGCCGTGGTAGCCTAATGGTTTGACCTACCGCCTCTGAAGCTGAGGCCGTGGGTTCGAATCCTGGCTCACATCTCTGAGTATATCTGGATTTATAATAATAATAATAATAAAACTCGCATCGGGTATAAATATAAGATACAAAATTGTATAAATTTCATTATTGTTGTACTAAATATAATAATATTCATGCGAAATATTAATTTTGACGATCCTAAACCCGAAAAAAATACGAAAAATTGGCAATTAGGTCATCAGTTTTGTTGCTATTCGAACCAATCGACTACTCACGTTGATTGATTGACAAATATCGTACAACGATATCAAATGATGTATAAAAAACGTGATTACATGACGATTTGTAAGTGTAATAAAACAATATTTTTGTATGTTGATTGTTACAGCCCATTGTAGGTACATTATTTTTGCAATCACAGTTTATTTCAATTTTCTCGGGTAATTTAAATATCACGGTGTGTGAAAGGTCATGTCGATCTTATTCTTATCGTATCGATGGCTTACACTACAATGCTTGCCATCGTGTTGAAATGACTTGCCAAATGGCGTAAGGTCCTCGCCGATTGTTGCCCAAGGTGTGGCAGATGAACCTGCTGTAGTAGTACAGTACTTATTGTATTAAAAATGTAAGATTTGGCTTGAAATGGGTTTGCATGAAAAATGACATCTAATAAATGTCCATCACAATCCTGTGGCCGTGGTGGACATTTATCGGATACCAGATTATCAGATTCCAGATGTCGATTCTTTCACCAAAGTTTGTAATCACTTTTTGACGAAATGGTGGGTCTATTTCGTTAATCACTTGGCCGTTAAATGGCCAGCTCGATCATGTGATTAAACACCGGTGGATTATTTTTTATGGAGTTATGTTAAAGACAGAGTCTATACGGAGACAATCGAATCAATTGCAGCCTTAACACTCAAAATTCGCGAAGTGATTAACGAAATAGACCCACCATTTTGTCAAAAAGTTATTAAATACTTTGATGAAAGAATGGACATCTGCAACTGTCCTCGTGGTGGACATTTATCAGATATCATTTTCCATTCATAATTGCCAAACCTTACTTTGTATAATACAATAAAAATTTGAATCATTGTCATCTAAATTTATTGTTTTATTTTAATTTACAAAACAAAGTTCATGTTGAAAACCCTATGCTTAAAATCTGTATTGAAATTAGACTTTAACAGTTATACATAGGGCGCACTATAAGTTTCGGGAACTGACTACTTACATAAACAATATTTCAAAAGTAATTACAAGATTTGAAAATGGAACTCTTTGGCTGTAGAATACAGTTTGTTACATCTGACTGTCACTTGTTTTTATATTATGGCGTCATTTTAGAAATTGGTTGTCTACATCACCATGGATTTAACTTTCTATAATTTTCTTAGTATGATTTTCTACGATTTTAAGTATAATTCAACAGCTCAGCGAAGCTTCCCTTGACTTCAAACTGCTTTTGGCAATTAAGCACCGTACACGACGACTAATTATAGCTGGTTTGCAGAATTCAAACACGGTCGTGTGAAGTCAGTGACGAATTTCGTGATGGTCGCCCATCCACTGCTATGAACAACAAAAACATCGATGCTGTGCGCCGCATGATCAAAACTGACAGGCATGTGACATACTATGAGATTCGGGCATCTTAGGCACAGACATGAGTCAAATACAATCAATACTACACAAACTTTGGGTGTGAAAAGCTATTCACGGTGGATCCTACATAATTTGACTAAGGCTCAAAAAACGGATCGCGTCACTTGGTGTAATGCCTTGCTTACCAGATTCAACGAAGGGGCGTCAAATTTGGTGTGGGATATAGTAACAGGTGACAAAACATGCATTTATAGTTACGATCCCAAAAGAAAGCAGCAATCGAGCGTATGGGTATTTCGAGATGAGCCGAAACCAACCAAAGTGGCGCGCGTGCAAAGTACCTCTAAGCGGATGATTGCTTCTTTTTTAATAAAACTGGACACGTGGCTACTGTTGCTTTGGAGAATCGTTGTACCATGAATAGTGATTGGTACACGACCATTTGGTTACCGGAAGTTATTTATTATTATATATATTATATATTATTATAAGTATATGACAAACCCCGTGATAATGCCAGTTCTCACACGACCAGACAGACAAATGAATTTTTGAAGGTGAACAACGTTGAGCTTTTGAGCCAACCCACGTACAGTCCCGACCTGGCACCTTGTGACTCTTATTTATTTCCAAAAATTAAGAACCAGTTACGCGGTCAACGATTTTCATCACCTGCAGAGGCGGTCGAAGAGTATGATAAATATGTTTCAGAGATTGTCACGGAGGAGTGGCATAAATGTTTTCTAAATTGGTTCATTATTAGGAAAAAGTGCATTAACCCTAACGGAGAATATTTTGAGAAACAATAAATTCATTTCTGACCATTTATAGTATTTTTTTCAATTCATTCCGGAAACTTATAGTGGGCCCACGTAATAATAACGCGCACACACTCATAGCCAGGGAAACTCTGTATCGCGGATGCCATGGACACACACATAAACGACCACAAATTACACCCAAACTTACGAGAGGAATAAATGTAGGCCATACAAAATATTCTCCCGGCTCGGAAATCGAACCCGGGACCTCTTGCGTAGCAGTCCAGCATGGTAGGTACTGTTCGGCCACAGAGGCAATTAAAACTTGAACGTAGTTTGCTGGTTTCAAGTCAATATAGTCCTAAAATAGAAGCATCGACACTATAAGTATTTGCCTGAAACCACAGTAATATTAATAGAGTTAAAAAAAAAGGAGGAGGTTCTCAATTTGACGGTATTTTATTTGTGTGTATGTTACGCAATTTGTGAACCGATTTTGAAGATTCCGTTTTGTCGAAAAGAGGGTACCTCAGAAAATATTCCTCCTTTATGGGTGGCAAACTAGGGGAAAACTCCGGTTTCGTGGACTTTCCAGTAACCGATTTTAATGAACCTTGGCAAATACATCTATTTCACGAACTTTTGAGATCGGTTTTTTTAATAAAAATGTTACAATTATACGGTATTATGTTACATTTTATAATTTGGAATGTACAAAGTAAACGTACAAAATCATCAAATCATTCTATAAAAGGAATACTAAATATAATACATACCTTAGTTTATATTATAATTAATCAGTCAGAAAACTACAATCCATTCGCAACTGCACCAAGCGGTACGAATTAGTTATTTCTGTGAAATGGATAATTAATCTTGGCATTAATTTTTTCTACACTTCGAAATGATAAATAATTGATAAAACGGCGATTTAGATGAAAGATACCAAATTAATAGAAAAATATGTTATTGGTAATACCAATTTTGTAATCTCATGTATGTGTAGTGTTATGCTATCAATTTATTTTTTAATCCTCGTGCACAATCGGTATAAAAACAAGAAACAGGGTTATCCAATGTTATTGAAGCCCTTGTTGCAGTAAAGATGAGGTTAGAATGGCTGTTTTTATCGTTAGTGGCAGTGTCAGTGGCTGCGTCAGTGGCAGTAGTGAACGGTCAAGACGAGCTTCCGTTAGCGGCACCTTGCAATGCCACTGCATGCGATCTTCCCAACTGCCAATGTTCATCTACGGATATTCCTAAAAATTTAAATGCTAGGAATACGCCTCAGGTATGTTTATTTATTTGTTGACTATGATGAAAATTGTCTTGATACGTCATCACCTTATCTAATATTGAGAAATAAAGATTTAGAAGTGAAACAGAACTTACAGTCCTTTGAAGCTAAATTTTCTTGTTCTAAAAGAAATTGCTTAAAGGCTACACCTAAAATAGAAAGAATATTGAGGCAATCTGCCGTGAGAAGTAGATTTTAATCATGCAAAATGATTATATGCGATATCAAATGTAATTTGTTTACCCATGAAACAAAGATATATTTGAATTTGGGTGGAAATTGGGATCTTGAAATAGTCTTATTTAGAAATAAATTATTATTGACTGAAATTTATAGTATTCTTGCTAACAAAAAAGGTGTATCTCGAAATGATCCTCCAATTCAGTAAATAAAATTGACCCATAGTATAAAATGCAGACGAAGGTTTACCAACTTAATCCATTTCCAATCCAACTTAATCCATTTTATCTTCCAGTTTGTAACCATAACATTTAACGGTGCCGTCTTGATAACTAACATGATGACATACAGACGACTCCTTTACGATCGTTCAAACTCTAATGGTTGCAACATCGGCACCACCTTCTTTGTCAGACATGAATATACCAACTATCAGGATATCAATGAGTTATACAATCGAGGTTTCGAGATTGCCCTAAATTCAATCACTCATAGAGCTCCTCAGACATATTGGGCAGAAGCCCCTTATGAAGATTTGGTGAAAGAATTCGCGGACCAAAAAATTCTAATTTCTCATTTTGCAAATATTTCCATTGATGACATTAAAGGTAAGTTTGCATGTATATTGGGGTACAGAGTTATAAAAAGATGAATGAAATATAAAAAAGTTAAATAATAGAATGAAAAGTATGGCCTACATAAAACTTCGAACGTTTCAAAAATACTAATTTGATTAATAGTAACAATAAAATTGCATAAAATTATCTAATATATTAAGTATCTCGAAATGTGTACTTTGAGTTTATATTTTTCTGAGTTCAATTACTATATTTATTATATTTGCTTTCAGGTGTTCGTTTTCCATTTCTTCAAACTGCTGGTGACGCTAGCTACCAACTTATAAAAGATCACGATTTATTATATGATTCAACTTGGGCTACGGTTAATCTGCAGGACCCTGGTATTTGGCCGTATACTTTGGATTACGCTTCTATTCAAGATTGTCAAGTTCAACCTTGCCCAACCGCTTCGTTACCAGGGGTTTGGGTGTCACCGTTGATCACTTGGAGAGATTTACAGGGTTTTCCTTGCTCTTCCGTTGATGCTTGCGCCTTCGTGTAAATACCTTTTTTATTATACTCTACAAATCGCTGACGTTTGTTTCTTCTTAAGGAAAGATTTAACGTAGGAAATATAATAGAAAAGATATGATAAACATCAAAATATGAGCGTCATCGACCATCTCGATTATTACTCTAACTTGTTTTTCTCAGCAGTTCGCCTTTCAATCACATAGTCTATAATTACTTATACTTACATTAAGACTTTCAAGTATGCTTGGCTTAATGTTAATATATATATATATATAATAAAGAAGAAATTTTTAATAAAAAAAATATTTGTTGTACGTGTCGTATATACACAAAACCCAAAGTATTCGGCTATTCTTTTGTTACAGCTGCGTTGTCCTTACTTTCATTTATACATACAAATATCGTCACATGCATTTATATCACTTAACAATCAAAAGTAACCTAGTTATCACTCTAATTCTTTTTTTTCAGACCAGACCTCGAGAACGAGCAAGCGTGGTTCCAATTCTTTATGACAAACTTCGAAAGGCACTATCTTGGTACACGTGCTCCATTTGATTTGTCCGTTCCGGAGGGATATATTGCCTCTTACCCTGCCGTGTATAGAGCTCTCGATAGGTTCATTGAATTTTTGACAAGACTTCCTGACGTCTTTCTGGTAAGTCCAGATAAAGAAACGATAAGAAATCAAACAAATGAACTAGACAATCTAAACTTCTGAATGTAAAATAATAATTCAACTCACAGGTTAATGAACGTGATGTGATTGAGTGGTCGAAAAATCCGCTGGATATTGAGGAGTACCTAGAGCAGAACTGCACAACAGTTGAATCTACTGTCTGTGATGAAAAATTTTGCCCACTAACCTCTGAACACAATGACGTAAGTATAGTACAAGCTTACCACTTAACTGAGTCGATTCCTGAGGTAGCTGCGCGGTGCGGGAGGAGGACAGTTTACGTAACAGTTATGTCGCGCTGCACACGGGATAATTTCAACAAGATTTTTGTAACGATATTCAATAACAACTTGATGGAAAAAGTGCCTACCAAATTAGGCAATTGTTGTTATGTGGCACTTTTTCAATCAACGTGTTATTGAATATCGTCAGAAAAAATCTTCTTGCCATTATCCTGTGTTCAGCGCGACTTAACTGTTACGTAAGATGTCACTCCTCCCGCACCGCACAGCTACCACAGGAACCGACTTAGTTAAGCGGTAGGCCTGTAATACTATATTTAAAGCAAAATGGTTTATTCTTAGTTGGTCTTCTTCTTATCGTATCGATGGCGTATACTGTAATGCTTGCCACATTGGTGAAAGGATTTGCCAATCGGCATAAGGTACTTACCGATAACAGCCTAGGGTGCGCCAGACGTACAGAACAGGAATGGTACGTCGTGCAGGGAGGCTGGTTACGTGCACCATAGTCTTATTTTTAGTGTCAGGAATCTATCAGGCTGATCTTGCAATTTGATCTCAGTTTAACATGTTTATCTCTTTCGTGATCAATAAAAAAGACATGAGTCGACGAAATTTTTCTGTGTATTCGATCTTTATATTAATAGTCATAACAAATATGGACTAATTGGTCGGAAAATAAATGTGTTTGAATAAATAAGGGCGCCTTCACATTAAACGCTTATAGACAACATAAACAGCCGCGCGGACGTTTTACTTCACTAATTGTAACTGCCAGCAAAAGTAGCGCGCACGTATCGCGACCGAAGCGCTGCGACTGCGCTTCTAGATTTAGTATGAAAATTAATAGTGATGCGGCTGCTGCGCTTTTATAAGTGTCTAATTTGAGAGTGCCCTTACAGTGTTTTACGAACTTAATTAAAATTCAGAATCGGTTTTTGTATGCTTCCGATTCTTTTTTACTTATCATACAAACTGTTATTGATGTATGTGATGATAATGATTTACGATGGTATGAGCAAAAGATATCACAGTCTGAAATTATAATTTAAAAATAAGTTGTTAGTTTTAGTATCACATTTCCGTGTAGGTTCGCGTATTCACTTTTTACTTTGCTGTGATACGAACTAACATCAATGGGTATTTTACAGATTATTTATTTTTACTTTTTTCTTTTTTCTTCTATTTTCTTTATATACTAATTCATTTTAACTTCATCCTTCAGAGCCAGATTCTTGTTGGTGTAGCTTCCTTTGCTCCCTACAGTTCATAAACCTTGACCTCTTTATAGCTGTTCATTTTGATCTTCTTTGTTATTTATTCACTGTACGGCATTCTTGACCTTCCTCTCTTTCTTTTCCTTTCTATCCTTCCCTCAATTATCACTCATCATTTTAACTAATTCAAGTATAATATCATTATATTCACATTTCAACTATATATCATTTACAGATAACATACTACATGACAGTCTGCAGTGAATGCCCAGAGACATACCCATGGCTTGGAAATCCTCTCGGCGAAGCACCTTCGTCAGAGAGTACAGAGTCATCCGAGACTACAGAGTCATACGAGACTACAGATTCATACGAGAGTACCACTATACTCTCACATGACTCTTCATACTAATTGTGAAAATTTTGTATGCCGCAAGGCAAATTACAGTGATTGTGACACATTTATAATAATAATAATAGAAATAATGTAATTATTTATTCCGACAACACTTGTTCATTTTACGATCCAATAGTGTTAGTAAACTTACAAAAATATAACTACGACTATTGTAAATACTAGGTTAGTGGTAATAATAATAAAAAGTCGCACAAAAATTTTGTTATAAAAAGCGGTTGTCTCATCCAGACCCAATAGTCTCTTGCTCAAGTATCATCGAGTGCCTCCGTACCTGAAGCGAGTTGTCAGGTCCTACCTATGCAACAGGTATATTACGGACCCGGGTCGGGATGGCGCAAGCCATCGCAGAGAAGTCGTGTGTGGGGTTCCGCAGGGGTCTGTTCTTGGACCACTACTTTGGCGCCTCGCATACGATGCTGTCTTGAGTGTCGCACTATCGTATTTTATGCTGACGACAACCCTCCTGTAGACATGCCCGGCCCCCTGTCGCTTAAGCTTACTGATTTTGCGAGCTATGTTGGTGGATGAGGCCTGTTGTTAATATCCACGTCTCGGCTGCGTAGGACATAACTGATAAAACGCACTGGTTAAATGTAGTTTTCAGGCTTTGTGGGATTGACCCCCTGAAGATGTGGCTACAATTAATTATATTCATTAATAAATTTCCTTCACTTCATCAGGCTATAATTTATGTCTGAGCTCGCATCTCCTTTTCCTGTGCCTTCCCAATATCCCAATACGTGCTAGGCTAAAGCCACATCAACCACAGTGGCGTAAAAAATACAGAGTGACATTACCTCCGTAATTTTTATTATCTATCCGCGCTTCCGTCCGGTATTGAGCACAACTCATGGTGGCATTTTATGTCGCTGCTCCGCAAGTATTGTGTGTGAACGTCGAGCTTTTGGATATCGGCTCTGAAGGTTAATGTTAGCACGGTGTCCGTTTCCTTTTACTTATGAGCTCACGTATCCCGCAGCTCTCCTCGAGCTATCAAAGGCAAAACCAATATTTTTCATTAATAGCGTCACCAAGTATGATAGCAATGAATTATTGTTAATAATATTTCTGCCTTTGTACCTATATCCAATAAAAATCGAAAGCCGACTAAGTAGAAAAGGGCAGCCAAAGGTTGTGCGTCCTCGAAACATTGCCAATAGGATAAAATTAAATCCACTGTAAACAGTTTATTGAGTTTATCTAAAATCTATCTTATCTAATTTTTTACTTTTTAACGTTTCCACTATTTTTTTTGTAATTGCATTACCTTTATTTACATTTTTGAAGTTCGATTCCACCTCAGAGTACAAGTATTCAGTTGTTTACACTAGATCTTTTGTATGACAAAGATAGTAGTTCAAATGTATACTAAACAAAAAGGCCAGTCCATAGCGGTAGCAGTGCCACTCTCATAGCTTTAAATAGCAAAATCTGCGATTTAAAGCTCTAATCTTCACCAGCACCTTACCTTTACCTTACCTTTCAAAACCGGAACGCAGTAATAGTCGCAGTCTTGACGGCAGAACTAGGTAAGATGGCAGTACTTCCCTGGATGAACATAGATTTCTCACAAACGGCGTTACGGCAAAATAAAGTCGTTAAAAACCACAATCAAAGATCTGCAACAAGCACATAGAAAAAATCTTAATGTCTGCTGGTTTGTCCCGTAGCTCAGCTGGGAGGGCGTCAAGCACGGTATGCCGAAGGCGCTGGTTCGAATTCTGCCGAATCGAAGGAATCTTCCTTAAGTGTTCGATATTTGTATTAATAAAATTAGTATTATTACAAAAATGACATAATAAATCGAAGCACAGCGAACTAAACGAGCGAGGCAAAAGCGAAGCTCTCCTGTAGCGCTAGCACGACAGCGCACGATATAGCGAGAGCGACATAAAGCGCGAGATGTGTATGCTGTCGTACTAAACCTGGCATCCACTCAAACACCAAAATCTATGAACATAATTATTCGGCCGTTTCTTAACTGTCAATTTTCTCTTTAATTACATTACGAAGAAGAAAAGTATTTTTAACCGAATTCACAAAAGTGGAGGCTCTTAATTCGCCTGTATATTTATCTGTGTGTATGTAACGCGATTAGGACATTTGTCAACCGATTTCGATACTTCTTTTATTTTGGAAGTGAATGGGACCACTATACCCACCCTCAATAGTGGTCCCATTCCCTTCAAAAAATATTCCCCCACTAAGGGTGGCAAATTAGGGGACAAATCCGGATTATTCAATTTCACCCACTTTCCGCAGATTTCATTAAACTTGGCACTTAATTCCAACGAAAATAAAACAGCAAACACGGATAAGCAAACTTCTTTAGTATAAAAAGGTTACTAATTATTAACGGTCCTATGCACTATTGAATTTTTTTGTGAAATAACTCCACTAATTTGTTATAATTATTACTACAAAGAGCGAACACTTAGAAAAAATTCCTTCGATTCGGCCGAATTCGAACCGACGCCTTCTAGCAGACCGTGCCAGACGCTATGCCAACTAAACCACGGAACGAACCAGCGGATCTCACGAATTTTTCCATGTGCTTCTTTGTCGGATCTTTGTATTTGGTTTTCAACGACTTTTTAGCCGTAGAGCCATCTATGAGAAATCTATGAAAGCGTTTCGTCCCCCAGTTAGGTAATTTTACAGCTACCAGCCCTGGCTAGAGATGTCGCTATTAACTTTTAAATTAAATTTGTATTGAATTGATATTCAACTTTTTGTAAAATTACTCCACTAGTTTGTTATAATTATTAATATTACAAAGATCGAACCCATAAAAATTCCATCGACCTGATGGGATTTGAACCCATGACCACGCTGTCATGGGTTGGATTGAAGGACGGGGCGCGCTCTGTAGAGCGGGCCCCATCAGGATGATGAAATTTTTCTGTGTATTCGATATTTGTATTAATGATATTAACAGTCATTTTGCATTATTTAAATGCATTATTTTAATTTAATAAATTTACCTGTTTGATTGGTATGATAGCCTTTGCTTTGGAAATAATATTAGCAGATGTTAATTGATTACTCATGTTGCTTATCTATAACGTCAGCGTGTGTACAAATGTAAACGATCAATCATATTCTGACAATATCGGCATTGGAACAAATACAAAGTTACTGATGACTATTAAAGAACTTGTAGTTATGAAATTGACGAAACAGAGGAGGATATGCGCAAGTAGCAGCTTATTGCTTATTAGTATAAAAAATAATATGGGCCTCATAAAAAAACCCTAATGTCACTCAACGAGCTATTGAGCGAGCAATGCTCGGCATTCGTACAAGAACGAGTCACCGACATAGCTTAGCTAGGATTAGCAAATTGAAGTAACGGCGGCGGGTAACCGATGGATTAACGTCGCGTCCGATCGGCTAGTCTGGAAATATTAAGGCGAGGTCTATATTCAGCAGTGGACGTCTTCCAACTGATGTGATGATGATGATAAAAAATAACTTTGTCGCATAATACAGAAACGTAGGTACAGAGATGTGCCTAGCTCCCAAACTAGGATGTCCTGAGGTAGCTAGGTCTTACGTCCATCAAGAGTGTTGCCTCATAATCTCAGTACAGAGTACGAAAAAAACCGACATCAAAAGTACGTGTAATTACATCTATTTAAATCGGTTACCATAAAGTGCGCAAACCCGGATTCATCCCGTAGTTCGCCACTATACGGAACTTGACACAGGTGTTAATAAAAATCAGTTCTCACTACTCAAAGTATATTGAGAGAAAAACGCCTTAAATTGGAGAATAGCAAAATCAACCATTAAAATAATTGCTCCTTATAATAAAATTTAGGCTATATTTACAAAAATTAATCTTCATGCGTGAACAGATATAAAAATTAAATGGGACAACTATGGAGGTACACTCTTTCCAACGAAAAAGAACCTTCAAAATCGGTTCACAAATGGCGAAGTTATAAAAAAAGTAAAAATAAAAGTAAATAGTCTGTTACAATAAACTTATAAAATATGATTCGTAGAACACAAATGGTACATTATTTTTGTTACATTTTCCAGTGTTTCCAGTGTTTAACACAACAAAACAAAAACCGACGACTTCGGTCTCAACAAAGAAAAAAACAGTCAAAGAAAATTTACTTGGCAGGATAAGATGCACTAATATTATAATATAATATAAATGTCCAGTTTAGCAAGCACAACTTCGAGAAGGAAGCCGACAGGAGAATTCATTTGGACTAGGCGGCATTTAGGAAGTTTAGCCACATCGTCAGGTCGTCAATCCCACTAAGCCTAAAAACTAAGGCATTTAACTAGTGCGTTCTACCAGTTATGTTCTACGCAGTCGAGACGTGGACATTAACAACAGTTCTCATCCACAAATTCAAGGTCGCTCAGCGTGCGATGGAGAGAGTTATGCTTGTGATTTCTCTGATGGACCAAATCCCTAACGAGGTCGTACGTCAGAGAACTAAAGTGAACGACATCGACATAGCTCGCAAAATCAATAAACTAAAGTGGCAGTAGGTCGAGCATGTCTACAGGAGGGTTGATGAATATAGCTACATACACTTTATTGCTAATACACAGGAACATAGACAACAGTACATAGACAGCTTAAAACTAATGTGGGCAAAGGTGATTTTACGGTTAAGAGCGATCTCTTCCAGACAACCTTTGAGCTAATCAGAGCGAGATATGTGGTGTGCCAATAGCAAAATTTGAATTGTATAGATAAACAAAAATTAACATTATATTTTATCAAATAATAAATAACGATACAGTATACCTACATTTCTATTAGTATATACAAATATATCTATATATTTACTTACACTTTCTAATAAATATATACGTAGGAAAGTGAGAGGAAGGAATGGTTCCGATCAGAGTGGTCTGAACGCTCAGGTGGTTCTTTAGAAATACTATCCATGGTGGTTACTCACTACATTTTAGAATAGATTGAAAACAATACGCAGCACGGAAAGTATGTACTTCATTTATTGTAGAGAGGTACAATAATCAGGGCAGTATTGTGGAGCTGCCTTGTGTCCAGCGACTCGTTCTCGAATGTGCCTCCTAGCAATCAGCAGCCCTATTTATAAGGCGACATCCCCACAAGTCTGCCCACGTGCTGTCAGCCGACTATCTTGTAAACAACGTTGTAAAAGAACACCTGCGTCGTTAGTGCTAACGACTGGAGATGCTATTGCTTCGCAAACAATTTATGGAGCCAATGATATCACTGTCACTGATGACCGCACGGGTGCATACTCGTACAACGCCAGAGGAAAGAGTGCCCCGCCGCTTCTCTGCGCGCTGCTTTTATCCCGTTTGCATAACAAACCATTTACTCCTGCACGTGTTGTTTAGTTTTATACACCTTATGAGGAGGCGTACGATGGCGCCGCCGTCATATACACGTTGCGAACTAGAACAGCGTCAGAAGATATTTACGCAATCCAGTTTTGAAAATAGGAAGCTACTTAGAATGTCGAAATCGAATGTGGGCGTGGGCGTGTGCATGTGTGTGTGTGTGGCTGGGTGTGTGTGTGTGGATGTGTGTGTGTGTGTGTGTGTGTGTGTGTGTGTGTGTGTGTGTGTGTTGGCGTGCGTGTGCGCGAGTGTGTGTGTGTGTGTGTGTGTGTTTGTGTGTGGGTGTGTGGTTGTGTGTGGGTGTCGGTGTGGGTGTGTGTGAGTGTGGATGTGTGTTTGGGATTTTAGGGGATTAAGCTACATTTTGACATCAAAAGCGCGACATTTCATGTCTGTTTAGCGACAAAAAGTAAAGTATTTAATTGAGTTCCAACTTTTAACATTTAAATCGATTTTCTAACAGAATTAATTATCTTAAATAATTATCATAATTATCTGAACGCCTTTTATTGACTTTGAAAATGCGCCACTCAATAATGGTAGATGTCTTATTTCAAGGTATGCCTTTGGTCTGTGCTATGACCATAAAGTTCTTGTTAATGAAATGAACCTTATAATGAGTAACATGAGAGTTCATTTTTTATATGGAGTGGAATGCAGTTTCAGCGACAACTATCGGCTTTTAAACATTCTATCTAGTAACGTTTACTTTTGAATCTATGAGCAATCATATTGCCTCGAACCGACAGTAACCTGCTTTCTCTCTCTATTCTTCCTCATCCTTTAGGTCCTCTGCCACAATACGACCGCTAAACGCCTCAAAGGTAACCCCATTTTAGAGTACCTATTGGTGGTACAAAGGCTTCTTTAATCTTACCTTTGAACGGCAAGAACTCACTGTTTCTCTCGTTGTACTTCAACGAAAGAAGAATATGTACCTCAACTAATCAAAATTCATCGATCGAGAGAACTACATACCGTTTGCACCTGCGCAAGTGGTAGTTAAAACAGGTATTTTTAAGACAATGATAATCTTATTATTCAAATTCGTCTATAATTGTAAACGATAATACAATGATAAAATGTTAATTTAGATGGTAGATTATGAATGTGTCACCGTTAATTCCTTGGTAGGTTCATTTATTTGGGATTTTTTGCTATCTGTTTATCTATTTTTCGTCAAGTTAAATCGGTATAAAAACAAGAAAAAGAGTTATCCAATCTTATTGAAGCCCTTGTTGCAATAAAGATGAAGTTTCAATGGCTGTATTTATCGTTTGTGGCTGTGTCAGTGGCAGCAGTGAGTGGTAACGCTGACCTTCTGTTGGCAGAGCCATGCGACGCTCAGTCATGCAGTCTTCCCGACTGTCAATGCTCATCTACGACTATTCCTGGAAATTTAGCAGCAAGAGATACGCCTCAGGTATGACTATAACGCAAAAAACTGGAAACTTAAAAGATGTGTTTATTTTTGTTCAATATTTTTGATGAACATACTCAACTAGTTTGTTATTATTATTGATACCAAGATCGAACAAATACTAAGAAATTTATTCTTCTCTCTCGAAATTCACTCTTCCTATTCTTTCAATGTTAGATCTGCTGGCTCGATCCGTAGTAGCACATTTAACAAGCGTGGTAGCTACGAGGCAACGAACGCTGCTTCGAGTCCTATCAGATCGAAGAAATTTTTCTTTGTGTTTGTTTGATCTTTGTATCAACAATAATTAAAAAGCTGTATTCTTCCTTTATAATGTGGAAAATTAAAGTAATAAAGACAGAAGAGACAGAAAGAATTTGCGATCCTCTTAAGTCCTCTCTTCTTAATTCTAATTATAATCTTTAAACATCTCAGCAAGACCTTAAAATCTTTTTATTTAAAATAAAATGATTATTAATTCAGTTTATAATATTCTCACAAATAGAAAGGCTTGTAGAAACTGATTTTTCTCCATGGTCTCGGATCTGGGTGTTTATAGTAACGTCGTTGTTTCCGATTTCCATAGCAAAAGTGCTTTAGTTACTTATTTTGGGATCAGAGCAATGTATTAAAGATGGGAGAAATAGCTTTTTTTTAATGTTAAAACCTGCTTTTTTTTAAAAAGCGTGCTTTTCTAAACGCTTTATATTTTGAAGCTTACAAGATCATTAAAGAAAAACGTTTTAAGCGCTTAAACTTTTATGTTTAAAAAAATTTGCAACGTTGTGTTCATAGCGAAAAGCAAGAGTAGACCACTAAATGTTTTATTTTTATTTATAAAATCTTTATTCACATTGACGAATTAATTTGTTTGCTGGACTTGAAATATGTATAAGCACGTTGTAAAAAAATCAAATTGTTGAGTATTGACCAACTGACCAACGCTTAAAGTGAAAAGTGTACTTATGTGCTTATTTTAAAAAGTGATATTGTCTAATATTTATTTATTTATAATATGTGTTCAGTAATGGTGGATGAGAATGGTTACATCATTCACCTTCCACCAAGTCTTTGTGTCTAGAATAATTCTAACCATTTAACGATTTTTATTTTCCAGTTTGTAACATTAACATTTACTGGCTCAATCTCGCCAACCAACATGGATACATACAGACGACTCTTTTACTTTCGTCAAAACTCCAACGGTTGCAGCGTTGGTGCCACTTTCTTTGTCAAACATGAATATACTTACTACCATTTGGTAAATGAGTTGTACAACCTAGGATTTGAGATTGCACTTAATTCAATCAGTCATAGATATCCGCAGTCGTTTTGGGCAGAAGCTACTTATGAAGACATAGTGGAAGAAATAGCAGGACAAAAAAGTCAATTAGCTTATTTAACGCTCATTCCCATTGATGAAATCAAAGGTAATTACTTACATATTAAAATGTAACGAATAATAATAGACGAAATTGTAAAAACATTAATAGATGAAATAAAAAGAAGGAACATAACAATAGCACAGATGTATATAGATATTGATATGGATAACGTAAAATATGGTCGTTGTTTCTTTGAAAATACTAAATTTGAATAATAATAAAGTATCGTGAGACGTCGCAAAAATAAGCATTTTGAGTTTATATCTTTGCATTTTAAAATTTTTTTCATGTGTTTTGTGCGGTGAAGGAAAACATCTTGGCGAAACCAGCACTTCGAAGAAGTTTCACAAACCTCGCATTACGTGTCAAGACCCCAACCCGCATTGGGTCAAATCCTCGCCTGAGAGGAGATCTGTTCTCAGCAGTATGACGTATAAATGGGTTGATGACGATGATTATATTTGCTTTCAGGTGTCCGTTTTCCATTTCTCCAAACTGCAGGCAATGTTAGCACCCAAGTTATGAAAGAAAACCGTCTGTACGATTCGTCGTGGTCTACAGTTGCTTTCCACAACCCTGGTCTATGGCCATATACTTTGGACTATGCTTCTACTCAAGATTGTAATGCTCCTCCTTGCGCGACCGCTTCGTTTCCTGGAGTTTGGGTGTCCCCGGTGATCACTTGGAGAGATTTGCAGGGTTTTCCTTGCTCTTCAGTTGACGCCTGCACATTTGTGTAAGTATTTATTTCACAGTTTAACTAATGATGATTACAAATTATCCGCTCACGCGATACATGCAGCCGTAGACGCATACCACACCTAGAGGTGCCGGTGATGATTTTATACCGATTTATCGGATATCGAAGTTATAGCAGGTAAAAGAACTAATATTAATTGCTATTTCGGTAACTACTCTAGCAAACCATAAAGTTTTTAATGCCTGGGTCTGCCATTTAAAAAAAATAAGCAACTTCAAAAATACGTCACAACAATCGTGTATGTTTATTTATTGAAAACATACCGTAAGTAGCGTTTTTTAAGTTTACCCTGAATATAAATAGTTATAAACTATACTTTAAGAAGTAATTTCATGGTAAACATTAGAACCACTCAAACGGAATATTATCATATTTATCCAAGTACACCAAAAATTTCGTTAGTGCTTTTTAGTGCAGGATTGGCGGTGTATTACTGCATTTTATTTGAGATGTTTTTGTTGGTAGTACGGAGGGTATTTATTTAGCAATGCAGAATAATAATTTTTATTCATAAAAACTTGTATTTAAACTAAATGCTTTTCTAATTTGCGAAACCAAATAGCCGCCATTTGGCGGTAGGAGGAGCGCATCGCGTGAGCGGTTATTATCAAGCACTCCTAGAGACTCCCACTTGCCAATTTTCAAAGGGATCAGAACAATTTTTTTTTACTGCCAACAAACGCTTGTATAGCGTCCATATTTGAAAATGGCGAAAAACCAATTTCGAGGACAAATTATTATCTGGCACTTCTAGAGGTCTCCACATGCCAAATTTTCAGCTGAAACAAAGCGAATCACTTTCGGCAGCTATTTTTAACGAAAAAAACGCTTACATGGTAGCCATATTAAAATATAGCGAAAAAAACGTTTGACCCCAAATTATGATTAAGGTCTCCTAAAGACCTCGGCTTGCCATTTTTCAGCCGCATCGAAGCAAGTTTTTCTTCGGCCGCCATTTTGGATTTGCCATCTTGAATTTTTTTACACAGGCAGTTGACCACTATTACCCTCTATGACGTTCCTTCCAGCACCTCCTACCTATCTCTAATAGTTTCCGTGATAGAAGTCTTCGAAATTTGTATGGCGGCCATCTTGTTTATTTGAATTTCGAACATTTTTACTTTCTGTAGAAATTGACCAAGGTATGTCATAAAAGTGCACAAAAATCCTCCCCATGTATTATAGTTTTTGCAAGCCGTTGATCACTCGTTTACATTTTCCACATTCAGGTCTTCTCATATTTGATTCTTTGCCTTGGAGCGTATCCGCGTACAACGGTATAAATATCTTTTTTTCTATCATATCGGGAAATATGCATTCTATTTTTTAAGTGAGTCAGGATTTGTAGCTTTGTATATATAATAATGCTCAAGGTATTTGCTCAAAGCACCTGACGTACGACTTGATCGACCCATCATTGCGTCACTTCATAATCACGAAAGAAAAAGTAAATGTTATAGACAAAATAAATACCAACCATCACTATTATTTTTTTACTTATGCTTGAATTTGTAGTGGCGTTGAAAAGTACGAACATTTATCAAGTTATTGCTTTCTTTATGAAATAAAAGGATTTCAAGAGCCCTTTTGTACTCCTGTGTGATCTCTTATTCCCTTCTGTATAAATATCGTCCCATACATTAGATATCACCTTAAGAGTAAAATGTCTGTATAGACCTATTTTTTTTGTGTTCTTCAGACCCCGCTACGACGACGAGGAAGGATGGTTCCAGTTCATTATGCAGAATTTCGAAAGACACTATCTCGGTACGCGGAGTCCATTCGAGGTGTTCATTTCGCAGGGATTGATTGCCACTGACCCCGCCATATTTAACGCACTTGAAAGGTTTATTGAATTCATTACAAGACTCCCTAATGCCTTCATGGTAAGTCCAGGCGTAGTAAAGACGCCAATTAATTCAAATAAATTAAACAATCAAAACTTTAATTAATTTTTTATTGAATGTCTGAATCATCGCCATGATATTCATTTATTTCTTTTGTGAAATTACTCCCCTAGTTTGTTATAACTATTAATACAAAACATCCGAACACTTAGAAAAAATTCCTTCGATCCTGTAACGAAATACTTTCATAGATTTCTCACAGATGGTGCTACGACGAATAAGTCGTTGAAAAACCAGATATAAACAGATTCGACCACAAGCACATAGAAACATTCGTGAGGTCCGCTGGTTCGTTCCGTGGCTTAGTTGGCATAGCGTCTGACACGGTTTGCTAGGAGACGTCGGTTCAGATCCGGCCGGATCGAAGTCATTTTTCCTAAGTGTTCGATCTTTGTATTAATAATTATAATCAGAACTTTATTATCGAACATTTTGACGACCCCTGTGGTCGAGTGGCATGCACGCCGGTTTTCGTGGTGGCACTATCTCTGAGGTCCCGGGTTCGATCCCCGGCCGGTTCAATGTAGAAAACTAACTTTTTTAAGTTGTCTTAGGTCTGGGTGTATGGTACAGTCGTTGTTTCCGATTTCCATACACTGTGCTTTAATTACTGACTTTGGGATCAGATTAACGTATGTGATGTTTTGTAAAAAAAAATAATTTAACTTATAGGTTAATAAACGTGACGTAATCGAATGGTCAAAGAACCCAGTGCCTATTGACGAGTACCGACAGAAGGATTGTCCATCCATTACACCAACGATCTCCTGTACTCCGAGGTATTGCAGTGCGACCATGGACAATGACGTAAGTTATTAACATTCTGTAATCTATACGAAGCAATCGCTTACTTCCTATGTTAGTTTGAGGCTCGTATTCCAGAACTCTACTCAATGCTCAAGTCAGGATTTGAGTAGACTTGAGTATGATTTCAAGCACTGGAAATACTACCCTAATGGCAAGGACTTGAATATGATTTTCAGTGCTCACTGCAATACTCAAGTCCTGACTTGAGTATTGAGTAGAGTTCTGGAATACGACCCTGAGAGTCTTGGAAAGTGATCTCGAGTCGTGCCAAGTGACGGAAGCTTTATTTGAGCTCACTGAGATTCTATCTTTCGTTGTCATAGGAAAAGGGCAGAAGATTAATTTCAGTTTAGATCTGTCAAATCAGTGACGCCTATAGACTATAAATATTTTCATCTACTGTCAAAATTTTGCAAAATATGTTATTTTTGCGCAAATCAACGTCGCTTTTATATTAAAAAATAATTAATCTTTGTAACGAAAATTTTGAGAGAAAAAAGGTTTCCTTAAAAAAGTAGGTACAGGTCGAGACGGGCACGGGACATACCAGATATTATTTTGCTTGAATGAAAAATATGCACATTCATTTGACCAACTTTAAATGACAATAATACCCATCAATATACTAAACCTTTTACGACAAGTATACACAAAAGAGGGGTCTCTAAAATCAAGATCAAACTACTTGCTGTTCCATTTTGGTTCTACAAGGTATTTTTATATTATTCCGTAATCTCCTATCGGAGCATTGTTCTCCTTGGAACTAGTTTGTTTTACAAATATTGCAAATTTTATAAGACAAAAAAACATTACGTGTGAAAATCTGAAAGGCGTAGAGCTAAAGCGTATAAAAGCGAAATGCCGATAGTGACCCTTTACTTGGCAGTGATAGGAAGTTGTTATCACAAAACTCTGAAGGATATAATTGAAGTTGTTATTCTGCTTTCAAACAAAGTAAAATAATCTGTGTATCGTCCCTAGGGAAGATATTTGTCCTTGAGCGGCCGCCACCGATTGGTCAATTTTAAACAACATTAAACACCTCTACCGGAAAACTAGTTGCGTGCACGCTACGAGTGACAGTCCACGCTCAATGTAAACCTTAAAGCGTGAAACACACAGAAAGCGGGTGCGTGTCGGGTCGGTAGCGCGGCGGGTGTAATTCCATGTATTCATATGGACGTGCGCCTGTCCCGCGTCGGCACGTGGTGTATCGTCGTCCGTATAATTACACGAAATTACACCCACCGCGCTCCCGACCCGACACGCACCAGCTCTCTGTGTATTTCACGCTTCAAATTAAGACATTACTGATTAATCCAATATAACCTTATACGTACATAGTCATCATCTGTTGACTATTATTGATTTTGGATGTAAGATACTTCATTTAACACGTTGTTTTACTTAAGTTGTGAATTAAATCGGTTCCAGGAAAGAATTTCGTATTCGGTCTGCCTTCCACTTTGCCCGAGACGTTATCCATGGGTTGGAAATCCTTTTGGCATGTAAGTGATATCTTCAGTGTAATAAATGCAATAATAAATAAATATTTCTTTTTTTTACTTAAATCTCTACAGTTAGTACGTCGAAGTGCTTATTTCAAAAACAATGAACTTATTCCACGAAACAATTGCGTGTTGTCACATACAAAACGTGCATTGTGGTGGACATTTCAAGAAAAGCCAAAGTTGTTTAGTACGTATTGTACTAATACCACTTACCTACATAAAATAAATGATAAAATGTGAATTTAAAAAAACATCTGAAATCTGAAAGTCAATTAGTCGTCGAAACCAAATGAGCCCTAACTCAATTCGGATGTGAGTAGTTGAGGAATTGGGCCTAGTTGCAGTGCAGTAATAAATCAAGCTTACCATATTATTGTAACGTCATCGGAGTTCCATTGTATATCAAATTTCAAGTTGATTGTAAACAATGGTATCATAAAAAAAAAACAAAAAGTAAAATAAGCACTCATTTGATGATTATGAATACAAAGATCGAACACGCAGGAAAAATTTCGCCTACCCGGTGGAACTTGAACACACGTCCATGCTGCACCGTAGCATTGCTCTAACCGACTGAGCCATGAGTCCAGTTACCGAGTCGTCGAAATTCTCCTATGTGTTTTTGTCATAGATATTTGTACTGACTTTTCGGTATTCGTCTTCAGAATTAAGTACTAATAAAAAACCAATGTTTATTTCTAATACATTTATTTTACGTCATTTACATGAAAAAGTAACTATTTAATATTCATACAACTACAAGTCTTTGCATTGACTTCGTATTAATAAATATTTCTACAGTTAATAGATTTTAAGTACTTAGTAAAATTTTATTATTTTATGATTAAATCTGAGTTCGCCATTTTGTCGATGCACGAATATTGTACCTTATGGGAGAATTTTAAGGAAGGTTAATTCTTACACGAAATGAATGTATTTATTAAGTCCAAAAGTGCAATTAACTCAAAAGCAACCCTAAGGTACCTTTTACTTTAAAAGTATGGAATGCAAACTTGTGTTCTTCACTTCATTTGTAACGGTCTGTACTTAGATTTTTTTTTTTCTACGTCATTTTACCTTAAATGGTATCAAGTTAACACATTTTCATTTTCGTACAACTAGCACAGTCACAAGAAGATCAAAAGGAATTTATACAGAAATAAAATATCTTACTTTGCAGGGTTGCAAAGCTGTTTAGGTTCGCAAACATTACATTATACATTAGGTACGCCTAACATAGACAAAGCATCATTTAATTTAACACGAGTCATTACTTGTACATTTTTTTAAAAAAAGGATAGCAGGCTGCGTGCCCGCTTTTATCATTTGATAATATTGTTGCTATCTCTGAAGAAGTTGAAGAAAGCGCGGATGCGTGAGCGAGATGGCACTCATTTGCGTGCATTTCCGCACGAGTTCTTATATGAAAAAGATAAGTCTTTTTAATATAATTAACTTATTATATTATCTAAGGTCAGGGCTATTCAGAATGCTTAGAAAATTTAATAGGAAACTGACAAACCACAAACTTTCACCGTATTGGATTAGTTAACGTCAAATAACCAAACTGTCCTCAAAAGGGCATGTATCTACACGTAGGCAATGTAATCAAGGTTAACGAGATTGACGAGATTTGACAAAGCAAAAATAATGCCATTATATTCGAGGGTAATTGCAATAGAATAACCATCTGAACGTAAGTAAAACTACTCTTTGATGTGTACTGTGTACTAACTTTGAAACAAGAAGTGAATCTATAGAAGACAACATTTCGTCAAGTAACAGAGACACATATGCTGTTAAAAATAACTATGGAGTATTTACACATGATATAAATACGAAAACGAAACACGTAAAAGCCGAGAGTACTCTATTAACAAGTATGAAGAAAAACTACCTTAAAAATTACCATTTAATGCTAAAGCCATCACAATCTAATAAAATAAGTTACTTAAAACTATAAACGTTAATATATACAACTTTAATGAAATGTTTAGATCTAAAATAGCGTTAAATGGCTGAAATGAAATTTTGCCTCATGAGGTAGAAAATAAAATGTTTAGAGCTAATTAAGTACAAAGGAGTCCTAATATTTACAATATTGAGAATAATTGGGAAGTTATAGTTAATCTAAGAGACAATCTTAAAACTAGTGAAGAAACAATATATGAAGACATACAAAATCGAACTGAAAGAAACAAATATGTAATTATCAGGCTTTGAGTGTTATCAAAGTGCATTTGCACCCAGATGACAACCAATCAACGTGATTACAAATACATTTAGGCCAAATTCTAGAATATGAACTGGGCTTTGCTATTAAAGTTCGAATATTATCATAATCCCACATGGATACACTTCACGATAAATCCTTGGATTAAATCAATTTAATCAATGCATATCTTCTACCTAGAATATTATTCGCTAAAAATAACAAAACTAAGTATATACAATTTGTACAAATAAACCATAAATTAAAATAAGTTAGTAATACTGTAAACAGATTTTTTAAAGCTTATCTCCAGAAATAATAAAATCTAATTTAAAATTAATAAATCAGTCCATTTGATGAATTTAAGAGAAGCTAAAACGATTAAAGAAACTACTGATAGTTAAAATAATAAAGATTAATTGAAACAATGGGAAATTATTTGAGAGGTAAATTTACGTAAACTACAAAAGCACAAAAATAACGATCAAGAGATTCGCGACAATGCAATAATTATTGCGATCAAAAGACTGATGGAAAGCCTGACAAGTTACCATTAAATCCAGATATTTGTATTTTGGTATAAAGAACCAGTTCTGTAAAACGACCCAACGACGAAAAATGACTGTACACTGGATATTTACATGTCAGCCTTTAAATAAACATTTAACATTGACAGCCTTGTTAGTTAATCTGTGGCAAGTTGTGGAATAATCTAATGAAAATGTTCTCTACCATGTTGGAAATGTATGGTCAGATTTCCGATTTATCCGTAAGTAATGTGCAACATAAACGCAAGTATACACTCGTATGATATCTTTTTCTTGTCGTACTTATGATTAGAAGTGGCCATCAGCTATCTGCAAGGATCGCAAACATGATATTGTAAAGGGACTGGCAGTATTGTATAAGCAAGAAAAACGAAACAAACATTAGTTGCAAACATGATGATCTTTCTTGTATCGGCATGTGTCGCAATGTACGCGGCAGCACCAAACAAACCGGCATCGACACTTCTCTTCATGATCACGGACCCTAGTCTGATATCCTCGACCGCAGCAAAGTAGGCGACAGCCGTCAAGTCCAGCTGATGTTCGGTTGCAGGTACGGCCTTTGGTACCGAGGATTCCAAGTCTGCAAGACAAATAGTTAAAGTTATATGGTATACCCCAAGGTTTTTACATTAGTGTAAAAGGCTTTTTATACCCCAAGACTTTTACATTAGTGTAAAAGCCTTGGGTGTTTGACCTACCGCCTAGCAAGCAGAGTCCGAGGGTTCGAATTCTGTCTCGCACCTCTAAGTTTCTCAGAATTTATGTGCGAAATTTCTTATCAGTGAAGGAAAATATCGTGATGAAACCTGCACGTCGAAGAAGGTTCGCTACTCTCGGAAAAAGTGTGAAGTCCCCAACCCGCACTAGGTCTTCATGACAGATTATGGCCTAAACCCTCGCCTGAAAGGAGACCCGTGCCCAACAGTAGGACGTGTAAATGGGTAGATGATAATGAATAATGTAATGATCACACAAAACCGTTTGAAAGTCCGATCACAGATGTCACACAATAGCTAATACTACTAATGACGTAGACGGTCCAGCCAATGTTGTACGAGTATATTAAATAAAAAACAAAGTAAAAAAGTACGCGAAACATATATTTAAATAAATGTAAGAATTGTTTCAACCGACAATATTAATGTATTATATTGTAAACATCGCAGAGTTATTTACATACTGACGTAATTAACTCCACGTCACATGAAGGTAGACATGATGACACATGTTTATACCTACATCAATAAAAATGAATAATGTATAATGATCAGAAAAAAAAACAATAATTAACTAGATAATTATCATATATGGAAAAAATTCGTGAGGGAATTCTAGAGCATAATAATATTATCTTATCAAATGTGACTTCAATTTTATAATCTGACTGCTCCAATAACTCGACCACTTGCCATACGTAATTCCAAAAAATGCATTTAACATGTACATGTCAATACTTGTTTGATAAATGAACAGGTAATTGAGAACATGCACGTGACTACCAACGCCATCTGACATAGGAATTAGGAATCATAGTATTTGGGCCGTAGTTTTTGATTTCAATCAAGCGCAGATGACGCCACTAGTAGAACAATACAAATCGTATACTGAATGGCAACTGCAGAATTCAGAATAAGTCGTCGACATAGTAAAAGAATACATAATTATTATTGATGCAAAGTTTGAACAAGTACAAAGAAAATTTATTTCGAACCAGTGGTCCAGTCGGATCGAAGGAATTTGTCTTTGTGTTGTTAATAATTTACAATAAGTAAATTAATATAATAGTTTTAAAAATATTATATTCAATCAAAATAAATATTAGGTCACATACTAACTAAGTATGGATAGGGACAAATCGAAAACATTGATGTAGCGTAAGGTAGGCATCTGCACACATAGCCGTGAATTAATAAAGCAGTAATAATATTAAAGGAATTTTATAGCTACATATGTATGTAGACATGTGTCTAGAGTATTAATTTTCAGAGGCAATTTGTTTAACGAATGTTCTATTATTGCTCAGATGGAGCCTTTTCATATTTGGCGAAACGACATTATAAGGCGCTACGCAGAAGGAGCATTCCCATATTTCTCTGTTACGTTTCCTGTTACCCTTCCCCATTACCCCTTGTTTATACGGGAGGCAGTATTACCTGCCGTATTACCATTATTAGCCTGCACAGGGGCAGGGACAGGAACCTCATCAGTCTGGTCCTGACCCCAGAACAGCCCGTTCAGACTTCATTCAGCAACTTTAATTGACGCAACTGTCAACTTTTTACAAGTTTCGTTTAACGGTTGCCAGTTGCAGTAACAAAATTCCAATTCTAATTTGCGATTGCCGCTACATTAAATAAAATTTTGAAATCCATGGTCATTAACAAAAACAAGACTTCTGAGTGAGACGAGGAAGGATTGACGTTACCAGTTGCAAGAAAGTTGAGGATCATCTGCGCAGCGCAGTTGCCAAGACTTGAAACCGAACAGCCGGACCGATCCAGTTTAGCCAAACATTTAAAATTAAAAAAACAGACTTTTGGATCACTATTAAATTGTAATGAAATAAAAATATAATTGAATAAATCAGTCTTCTCTGTTATTAAACATCTAACATTGCACGAGACGCCCCGTTGCCCGAAAACCACGTAACTGATCAATTAAAAAGCCTGACAAAATTCGGACCAGCCGGACTCCGTCCAATTTAGCCGGACACTAGATCTAAGTCTGTTAACACTGTTTTAGATACATACTCAGCATTAGGTTCACAATAGTCCGGAGAGTCTTCCAAGTACATGAGGTCAGTTTTATTCGGCTTCTTCATGTCAGGATGCAGGGGTCGAAGTTTCCTGATGTTCTTGCCTCTTTTGCGTTCAACAACCTGAAATCGGTTAAATTTCTGGGTTAGGGATCGATTAATTAAATAAAGCCTGACAACATCCGAACCAGCCGGACACCATATAATTATTAAACATCTAATATCCGGCAACTAAGTATAAAAATTAAAAAAAGTCAATCGGTGAGGATGATGAATAAAACGTACAAAGAAAATTTATTAACATGTATGAGATTTATGATAATAACGAATGGTATCCGATTATCAAACACCAGAAGGAAGATACAAAAAAATCCCAACTAGTCATTAAAATGATAATTATGACTAGCCAATCAAAACTGACAGGCAAACGATTTTGTAGTATACTACATAAACTTATTCTGGGTGTAAAAGTGTTTCTTACCTTAACATGAGAAGCGCCTTCATATCGCGTAGAGAGAGCATCCCCAACCAATCTCAGCTGAGGCAAACGACGCCAGCATACACGAACCGAGCAGGATCCCGACATCCCATGGCATTTGCATACACGCTGCATACGACTACGGACAGCCTGGAAGTAAATTTTATTTAATTGAGACGCGCACTAAAAGCTTAAAGGCATTAAGTAATCTGATGGTAGCATAACAGTGTTCCAATACACAGATTTTATGGCACCACCGTGTCATACCATGTACTCGTACTACCTGGGAATTCCAGTTTGAGTACTATGACGTCAGTTTTGGATAGTTATCAGTTTTCATGATAGAATTAAATAGAAGTGCCTGATTTATTTTGAAAATCAAAAATATATCTTTTTTGTCGGCATGTAAGATCTTCTGGTGATGCAGTTTCAAGCAAGAATTTTAAATTTGCAGGAACGCTGTAGTTTAGTTCTATCCTCCTAGTTCCGCCTTCAATCGATTAGAAAGTCCGGAACACTCCACCCAGGTTACGTGACGTTTCTTAAAAACCTAATTTAACTATATTCAAGGCTAGAATAACCAGAACAGTGAATAGGCAATTAAGTATTTTTAGGCAATCCCAAGTAATCAATATTCGACAACATCACATACGTCGCTCTGATCTAAACTAATTAAAACACTTGTGCATGGAAATCAAAACGCGAGATTAAGTACCGACGACATCGCAAAATAAATGAAAACTTATATCAGTTAGATGCGCTCGTCAAGTAACCATTCCAATAAAGACGCGAACCTTAAATAATTACTTTTTAAAATCAAAATTCGGTCGGAGTACTTATCATTCGAAAAAAAATCTTAACATCGTAATTTTGGACGTATGTAACGGAACGAACAAGTCGTGTGCCGGGTGGTTAGCGACATGCCCATAATAGTTCCAGTGCCACTCAGAGCTTTAAATCGCAAAGGTTCTGAGGAGCACTGCCACTGTACCTACTCGTCTCCCCGAAACAAGACATTGACAAGGCTTCTGTGCCTGTAATCTGTCCAGCACTAAGAAATCGGACCGCAAAAGTGCTCATATTACTACTTGACGGCAGAAATAAGTACTTCTTTGGACGAACTCTTTCACAAATATCTCTACTGCTATTAAAAACAATCAGTGTCATCTAGCGTCTTTCGACGGAACTATAGCATTTTCATTGTTGAATATGGCAGTGTATTGCATTAAATAGGTTTGTCACAGACTCACAGTCTTATTTAAGACAACTGTCTTTATTAATATATTATTTTTTCTCTTAACGTCTTGGTCACTTAAGAGATGGTCACTTTTCCAAGATGCCTGTGATTTTAGTTTATTAATAAAAAGATATGAGTGAGAGAGATTTGAGTGAAATCTCAGCCGATATACAACACCGGTCTTATTTTTTTTTCTTCTTCTCGTGACATTGTTTCTTTTATATTAGGAATATATTGACTTTAAGTGGTATATTGCCACCATGACTGCGTCATCCGTTGCCGCGTAGAGATAATAACGCATAACGCTAAGATCTTCCCTCATACAGGCATTAACGCACACGAGTCTGATGCATGGGCTGTGTTGGGACACGACAACTCTGAACCCCCAAAGATGCATCAACTGACTTATACGTAACGTCTACTTAAAGGATAGAAAGAATCAATCCAAGCGCTGTCACAATATATTGTTTAATATAGAAACGCGCCTTATATTATAAACTCTACGACATCGAATAACAGGATTGGACTTGTTTGTGGTATCGCGAATAAGATAGGCGTTATAAATAGCCCTACAGAATTGTCTAAGCAAAATCAAGTATATAATGCTGACACAATGTTCACCATAGAGCTTAAATTACAAGATCGTTCTTGTTGTACGTTTGGGATATATCTATACTCACCCTCCGTCCTGCCTCGTTGTTATGAAGATTCACTAGTCCCTCGTCGGTGTTTTTGTCTTCTTTGGAATCAATGAAATCACGGCTGAATATCTCTCCGTATCTTATGTCCTGAAATGGATATGATCGAGATATTAATAAGTATATTTTAAATAAATATCATCAGTTACCCCAATGTTAACTTCTCACTCTTTCTATCTTTTTAGAGTTACAGTTAAAGTAAGCTCTATCAAAACATGGTTATAGGATGCCAAAAGAATATTCCAGCAACTTAGATCCATAAACTATTTAGACATGTAAAGTGATAGCTGGATCGTACATTTTTTAAATAACCGAAAAAATTTGTGTAAGAAACGTGAAAGGTACCTCCGAGCAACCTCCCCACTGCCAATGCCTGGGCGTGCGTTTCCTGACGCGTGCATCGCAAGAGCACTCATTGAGTTCGCCACGGCTGCATGCGCGCGCCACTGCGTGCGCAAGCGCAGCTGCGGATAACGCGTGCACAAATGCCGACTCACGTGATTCTGAAAAATATTTTTAATAAATTTTGCTATTAAGGCGCTCTTTTAGTTTTTCAACTGCTTTAAATACTCTACAAATTTTTGCACACACAGATCATGATACCCATGATTATAGCTATGATTTATTTAGAAAACACTAGGATTACTATAAACCAGTTTCATAATGTTGATATCCAACACTTTCTTCTCCTATCACTTGAAGAATTTACACGGAAATTCATAATTCAACATTTTTTACAGCCATTCTAAACTATTTCTCAACTATTTTTTAAAAATCCAATGATTTATAAAAACAAAATCTGTCTAATAATACCGCATCCATTGGGTTTCGTTTACACCGAATCGATCTTCGTGCATCTTTGTTTATTTTCAAATGTCGATAACTGAGATCACGTGTAGACCTGTTGATCGAAGATCTCAGTATGTTTATGGTTACATCACCAGTTTGACTTGATCTTCCACTCTTCTCCCAAAGGTATGTGGTTTTAGGTCATTAAGAAGTGCTGGAATATGTGATTGAAGGTCCAACGATTTGGATGGCTCGCTTCTGTTTGGTCAATGAACTATGTATGGATTTTCAGGTGGTTTCCAATAAGGTAAAATTTAAAGATGCTACAAGAATAGATCAACCTATAGAAACGATTGTATTGTATTACGTATTTATTAGTAAATATCGAGTTATCCGTTAAAATGCTCTAGGATTAACATGGTAAACTAAAAAACTTGAACAGAAGCACATATGGAGCTTTATGCCGTAATAAATAACTCTCTTATTATAATGTACGTACTCATTGTCATTACACGTTGCGGTATGAACGATGATGAAGTAACCAGTACCGAGAGGAGTTTCGATGATTAGGTCATGTAGAAAGAATGAATGTTTGTGGATTGACGGCACAAATTTATAGAGTGAATGTGGATAGAGGCGTGGAGAGAGGTACATATCTCAATCAGATTTGGAATATCCTTAAAAAGGTCAGGTTGAAAGTACTACGAATAAGCGAATGAAAAAAATTATAGGAGTGGAGGTGGCGAATGAGTTTTATGTATGTATGTACATCCATATATATAGCAGATACTATCTAAGTCCGCAAATATCTTTTAAGTTTGACATGCATGCATGCAAACAATACTAACTATACTTAAGGACTCCTCCAAAGATGTCAGTAGAGTTCTCAACAGTGCTGCAGTTCCATCGGCTGTGTCGGAATTGATACTGGCACTCTTCCACCGCCTGCTGAGCGCCCGTTTGCAGCACCTGAAATTGTAAGGGCACTAGTAAAGTCTACGTTTTCTAGGTGTCCGACAGGGAGAGGTTTTAGGACCACGACTGTTAAGGGTACGTGATTTCATATTTTTTGAAGAGACAATAAGTTCAGGCGATGTAGTCCTCTGGGCTGACTGAAACTACATTAAGATAAAGATATGTGACTAATATTTATTAGAAAAAAAGACATCCCTTGCAATATCACAAAGCAAGCTACTTTAAGGTTTTGGATTTATAAATAGTTTTAATTATAATCATGCTGTTGCTAACGGACAAAAATGTGCGTAGGGTAAAGGGCATGTGTGTGTGTGTGTTAGTGTGTTAATACAGGGTATGTAAACTAAAAACAATATATGCTCATATTGGTGAATAGGTTCGATTTCTGTTAGACCGAAGGAATTTTCTTTATATTCGATTACAAAAAAATTGTGATGTAATTTTACAAAATATTTCACATTCACATCTAAGAGATTGTTGTTCTACTTTTTAATTTAAGTTAAACCGCTACTCAAAGTAACTGGAAGCTTTAAATAAATCGCGTTCGTGAATTTCGTTTTTCTCAGAGGTTGACTGGTAGAGAATGCTTTTAGCATTAAGTCCGCCTTTTGTACCCTTTGTATTGTGGTCAATAAAGTTTAATAAATAAATAAATAAAAAAGATATATACATCGACTCCTCCTACATTTTAGTAGCAGTAGCGCTCCTCATGAACGAGTTCGTCCAGGGAAATACTGCCATTTGAGGTATCTATTTCTGCCGCCAAGCAGTCAGCATTACTGTATTCCGGTTTTGAAGAGTAAGGGTGCTGGTGAAACTACAGGCACATGAGACTTGTCAACTTATGTCTCAGTGTGACGGGCGCAGTGGTAGTGCCGCTCAGATCATTGTGATTGAAAGCTCTGTGTGTCACCACCAGTGGTACCAGGCGCACGACTTGTTTGTTCCATCACTTGGTGTCAAAAAAAATTATCGTAAGCCACAAAAATAGGAGTATCTTTTTCAAAAATCACTTTATTTTTGTGTAGGTCTACTCAAAATTATACAGCATGAAAAATAAAGCGTATATACATATCAAATTACATTGCAATACCTCGAGAATCTCAGATATTGTGCACATTTTAGTCCTTTCAATACATTAAAACCTTGCCCAGTAAATTATGAATTTAGAACAGAATAGAAAAGAATAGACATATATTGCAACGCTACAACACATACATACTTACAAGAGATTAATAAGACAACAAAACAAAATAGAAATAATTAAAAACCTCTAAAAAAGTAAAGCGAGACGGACAAAAGGCAATAAATAAAATTTTACTACTACAAATTTGTAGTGACATTTGTGCGGCTGTGGCGCACGCAAAAGGACCTCATGCAGCTTATGCCAAAGCCATTCATGTGGCGCTGGTTTTCAATGAGCCCTGGGCCAAAATGAGTGACGAACGTGTATTTTGGGCTTACTTGGGTAGATATTCAGATTTCCACAGAGATCTCTAAATATCCTTTTTAATAACATTTGATCCAGTAACTCTTAATCATAAACGATTCCTTAATTAAGTTTTAACTGCTCTTCAGTTGAGTTAAGCTTATCGTTGTTAAATTCAATAAACTTTATTATCTACATCGCGATCTAAATTGAACTGCGGGTTGTTAAATCGCGGTACTAACTTGAGATATCAATATTGAATTTAACGTAGTTTCAGATCGTCTTAAACTTTAGGTGACCCACTATTAAATCAATAGGTAATTCGTGTATACTTCTAGTTAACTATTTAACCTGACCAGTTAAGTCTAGAGATCAGAAGAGAAGATAATGGGGTTGAAACGGAAAAATATACCTAAGTATACAGTTCTAAAAAGTAAGGGCTCCTTGTCATACACAACCCAGCGCAGTTGCATTTTGGTAACTTTCGACGGTCATTCTCGTACTAAAGTTCACTACATAATTTTCGTTGGAATTTTTATTATTTGTTCATTATTTTTTTATGATACTAAGTGACGGGACGAACAAGTCGTGCGCCTGATTGTAAGCGACTCGCCTATCCATAACAGTTGCAGTGCCACTCAGAGCTTTATATCTCAAAGATCTGAGAGGCACTCCTTTTTTACTAGGGTAAAACCGGATTAGACGCTCCACATTTTGAAAGGGTCGCCTAATTTAAAAATTATTAGTTTACCATGAATAATTCCTATGGACGTAACTAGTTTAATCTTTTACATTACATTAAGATTTGATTTTATTGATCTAACATTTACTGATTTTGGAGAGATTGACTTTTTGCAAACCTATTTTTTTGATGATAGATATAGACGCCACGCGATGAAAATACTAAGAAGGATAGATGCCTTTTAGAATAAAACAGTAAAATTCATAATAAAATGTTTTATTTGTAACCTTTAATACATTGTATATACATATTACATCTTTAATAAGAAATATATACGTTAAGTTACTACTTACTTCACTTCGTATTTTTGTAGCTATCAAAACATTCCATACAAAAATGTTCGAAGTTAGAACTGTGAATAATTTGTCTGTTTGGTACTTTTACTTACTTTTAAACTATTATCGTTTACTTGTCTTTTTCTAAAATAGTGTATTTTTTATTTTCTTTTCCTAACTTTCTTGTTTTGTCCTATGCCCCTAACCTACCGGGCACCTATACCGCGAAATAACGAGGCGACTCCTATTCGATATGGATAGATGCCCTTTTATTATTTAACTAAGCTATATACAAAAGAGCGATTATTGACACCTAGGTGGCCAGTTAATGGAGCAGTGTATAGTTATAATAAAAATAAAACGGAATTTATTATAACTTACAAAGTTATGCGACAGCAAATACTTGCGTCTGAAACTTTGAACCATTTGCCGTGTTCTTCGCGGAGATAAACGCATGCAAAAGCCAAACGCGTCTATTCCACACGAAGCCCTGCAGGAATTTTGACGAGTGGTGTCTACATTCCTTATTTAAATTAATTATTTATTGCGATTTCGGAAAGTTAGGTTTTTTGAAAACGAGGCACCTATCCCACTGCGGCATCTATCCCGGTTTTACCCCATACATTGTACATTACACTGGTAGATGATTTATTAAAAATTAGAACAGTTGTAGGCATTGCCAAATACATAACCACTTAAAACCTATTAGCTTCTTAAAGGAATTTATTAATATAAACTATAGATTACAAAACACACTGAATTATTACCATTAGCACAACAACAAGATTGATAAACATCAAAGCGCCTGATAAAAATATTCCAGTATTATTATCCAGCAAATACATATCACTATACGTCTAATGCAGGAGCGCATATCATGTATTCGTACTAGAGTAGAGTTACTTTTAAGATTCAAGAAATAAAGAAGAAATATCTCACCTGTATGGTCTTGTCAGAGAGCATACACAGCTGCTTCTGTCGCTCAACTAGAAACTCCAATCTGTGACAGTTCTCTTTGCGAAGAGTAGTGACCACCAACGATGTGTTGCTTGACGGACTGGTGGTTTGTATTGGTGCAGCTAGGTTCCTGAAACAAACATGTAAAGTTTTACATTTTTTTTATATAATAGCAAGTGACGGAACGCCAACAAATAAACCGCCTAAATCTGAGGGACACTGATATTGACAAACAGAGACATAAGTTGACATGTGCCTGTAATTTCACAAGCACTCTTACCCTTCAAAACCGAAACTCAATAATGCTCACATTACCGCTTGGCGGCAGAAATAGGTCAAAAAAAAAAGGTGGCAGTATTTCCCTGTACGAACTCTTCCACAAGGTGTTCTTCGGCTGTATACCTACCCGTGTAATAAACCCAAACGAACCTAAATTAAGGCTTATTATTAATTACTGGACGCGACAAAGACATTTTTGCGTAAAAAAAATCACGTATTCCCTTCTTTTAATTCTCGTAAAATTCTATATGTTCTGTCTAACGTAGTTTCTGAATGTGCTAAGTACTTATATGTAATCGTCTCTACTGAGGCTAAGGACGCGAGACTCCATTCAAAAATAGTAGACGTTTTTGTTCACCAAGTAAAGATGTAACCTTGCATTTCATTATTACTCAAGCAAACAGGCACTTAACAAGTTCCCGGCAAACCTTACCAAGGCAGGACATTGTTAGGAAAACAACGCTAATTGCTTGTTCTGTAATCCTGCTTAACTCAACAACTTTCCTCGTAGTAAAATAACAATGTTAAACAGAAAATGAAATGTACGAGAACCCTCTCAAATTATAGAAGCTAAGGTAATTAAAATCACGGAGTGACGTCCGCTCTGTACAAAGTCCTCCACTCGAAAGAGAAATGCCACTCGAAGAAAACAAAACGCGCTATTACCTACCCTCCGCTTTTGTTCCATTTTTGAAAAAATGTTCTCCATTCAAACGGGCCAATGCGGAGCGGGCGCGGTACGGTACGTTGATTGGCCGACGACCTCCCTTGAGCGCAAGTGGAAATAAAAAGCGCTTGAGTAAATGAGGCGTGCTATCTCGTTTTTTCTTTGTGAATTTGTATATTTCTGTACTGTTCTGTTTTTCGTTTTAATTGCAAACAGGAGAGGATGTAAAGGGTTAAACCTTGAGTGTTCACGTGCAGCTTGGGGATGCATTTTGCATTCATCTTGTTTAAAAAGGGCTTGGAATATTTGTGTCATCCATGATGGTAGCTGATTTTGGACCGTGGCGAATGTTGCAAATTTTTACTTTTACACAGTATTCATTAGCGGCTTTCGCATTCCAACTTTTACATTTGGTTCTGAGCAAGACACAATTTTACTAAAGTATAGAATAAGATTTTTACAACATCTTTCCACCAGGTGGAAAGACAAGCTATATTAAGCATCTTATGTTATCTCAAATGATCGCCGTGGTCGTGGGAACAAATATGTTAAGTCTCCTGTGCCTATCGTCTCACAGGCTCTAACACCCCAATCAGGAACATACCATGGTGCTTGGCGTTAGAAATACGTATAGCTAACTCAAACTTATAAACTCAAATAGTTTTTATTTCATGGGTAAGCAAATTACACTTTAAGTTGTCACATAGAATAAACTCTACTACTAATTCATAAGACAGATTCTCTTAAGAGCAGTGGTAAATACAGTCAAGACCACATTATATCTGACACTTTGGGCTTTGCACCAAACGTACCCGAGAGGCATAGAGTTAATCTTAAATGTCAAGCTTGAGTTTCATACAGTCCCTTTTTTTATGATACCAAGTGGCGGGACGAACAAATCGTACGCCTGATGATAAGTGAAACGCCTGTCTATAACAGTTGCAGCGCCATTCAGAGCTATAAAACACAAAGATCTGAAAGGACACGACTGCTACTGCGACCGTCACCTTGAGACATAATTTGAAAAGTATCATGTGTCTGTTATTTCTCCAGCATCCATCAAAACCGGAACACAGTAATGCTGAAATAAGATTTGCGAGTCCAAATGTTATGTAAGATGTACATATAATAATTGTAGTAAGAACTGGTAGCATAGTCTATAAAGACCGATATCATCCGCGACTTCAAAGCAACATGCACTAATAATGCTTGTTTTCAAATGTGGGCTCCGTACACTTGCATCCGTGCTGACATCACCTGCGCCGAAAGTAAGCATAGCTGTAACCACCCAATAAGCAATTGACAGACATAACATTAATACGAGGAATTATAATAAACTAGCTGTTCTTGATAGTCGTCTTCCCAAAGTCATAAATTCATTTGGAGGGCTATGCATACAATAGGATTTGACGTTCAAAATGCTCAAAACTTGCCATTCATGAGATTTAAAGCTATAGTGAAACAAAAACTTTATACTAAAGGTATATTATACAGCTCCTGCATACTTGGATGACGAAAATACATGGTAATGACCCGTTTAGCTCTTGCAGGTACACTTGATCTATGATGTTTGAAATAAATAACGTAAATCATAAATCACTCCCCTCATGCACGAATGGCAAAAGTGGAGTTACGTCGAAAACTCCATTATTGCTCCATTAAATACAAAAAAATATAACTCACATCCTCTTCAGTTCTTGTAACTCTATCTAGAATATTAGTCTATAGAGTTACAAGAATTGGAGAGGATGTGGGTTATATTTTTCTTTATCCAATGGAGCAATAAACGTTTTTGACGTAACTCTACTTATGCCATCTTCCAAGAGGGGTGCGAAATGTATACATTTGTATATTTACAGAGCAAGCTCTAGAGTTTCTTGCTCAGTCTTCTCGGGAAAATCTGCCTTACGAATGCACAAATAAGAAACAAAATAAATTTTCACCACATTATTAATTAAACCACCGTTACAATTACAACGTACGATTTATGATCGAAAATATCTAGTAGAAGATGAGTAGTTAATAAATCTTACAATGTAAGAGCTATATTAATGTGGTGAAAGCTTGACACGTTTCCGATAATATTCTTTGTATGTTCCTCGACGTGCAGGCTTCATACGATATTTTCCTTCACCGAAAAGCTCGCGGTAAATTTTAAATTAAATTTCGTACATAAATTCAGAAAACTCAGAGGTGCAAGCCCGGATCCGAACCCACGATCTCGGCTTGAGGCAGTAGGTCCAGCCATTAGGTTACCACTCAATTATAATTAAATGTAACAATATTCTTCATTTGAACACTCTTGAAACCATAGATATCTCCAAAATCTCAGCAGGCTGATTTTAATTCAAATGGGAATCGATCCGATCGGGTAGCTCATCCGAGTCTCGAAATCAGATGGGTTTCAGAGCAAGAAGATGAACCTGATTCCTACTATATCTTTCTAATTTGTGAGTTAAATCAACTATTGTTCCAATTAGAAATGTCAAAGTTTCCGATCGGCCAGTTGTAAATCGCAATTATACGCCTCCACTCGGAAGAAACGCAGTTTCCGATCGGAAGAGGCAATCAAAATCAAGCTGCTGGACGGATGAGTGGTGCTTGCAGAATATCTACAATCCAATTCAAAACTTTGACGGACGGACGGATGACCTGGTAAGGGCAGCGGGTAACCGATGGATGCACGCCGCGTCCGATCGACTAGACCGGAAATCTTTGGGCAGGCCTATGTTCAGCAGTGGACGTCTTCCGGCTGATATGATGATAATGATGAATACAAAACTAAGTACTGCTTCTTATATATTATGAACGTCATAAATATAGCACTTTAAAAAAAACAAGCTATATTTCCCACAGGCATAACCAATAAACGAGCTATAAATTATAAATGCCAAAGTTTAACGCCTATCATAACAAGCTTAAAGTGTGAATTATTTTAACTCAAGAATCGCGTGCTTTTAGACCATAATGTTGGCAACACTGACTAATAGTTCTACCAGCGCCAATCCATTTCCGTTTCCCGCCATTTTTAATCGGTCGTTTTTAAAACCTAGCACTTAACATTAAGCAGCTTATTGAATCAATGTAGTTCTCTTATAATACTAATGTCCACTTGCAATAAAGAACGGTTAAAATAATGCTTAAATTGATAAGACACTCTTGGGTAATTTTCAGGATAGTTTTCTCTACCTAATTTAGTTGGCAATCTTTATTTAAATAATAAATAATATTATGACATTATCTAATATTTGAGTATACGTAAGTAGCTTGAAACATTATTTAATATTTCACGATAGTATACCCGTATATTCAAATAATAAAAAATATCACCGAAATCAGGCACATAGATAAAACTAACCTGAAAATTATCCTCGACAATGTATTAAGATTGTCTTTTGCATTGCAAGCATTGGCTTAAAGCATAGGTTCCTACACTTTTTGCTCCAACCCAATTGTTTCCGGGGCCCCTGCAACCTAGGACTTTTCGCTACTACCAGACCACTTTAGAAAACTATGGTTTAAAGCATACGTAAGTTTATTGTTTTGTTAATAAAAAAAATATGTCTCTATTTCTTTTTTTTTTCTTCATCTTACGAAACATTTAGTTTATTTAATACATTATTATTAATTATACATTGGCAAGCGCTTCAACACGTATCACAATTCTTATTTACTTACTTTATAGTTAGCTAAACGAAGCACAACTACAATACAACGCACAAAAAATACCTTACACGTGTTCTACAATCGCATACAAAATTCTCAAATGGTAGAGATAACAATTACCACAACCAAAACCGAATTTAGTGCTAAGGTGATAACTAACCCTTTTACTGTCAATATTGACTTGACAGATTGTTGAGTAATTGCACCGCCGTAAATATAGGCTTGAGTAACACAGTGTAAGATTTCGCCAGCAGTAATAAAAGCTCTAGTAGCCTCAGTGATGCTATTGTAAAGTACATACTTCTAAAGTTTCTAGAAATCAAGCACATTTTTGCCAATTACCTAGAGAAAATCTATATATAAAATAGTTTTTTTACACGGATGGATTTTTTCTGATTTTATAATTTGAATTTGAAAATGACAAAAACAATACACTGCTGTTAAAAAATCATTAAAAATACTTGATTTTCAGTAATTAGCAAAATCAAAATTGTTCTAACAAGTAATTGATCTAACAA